TTAGGGAATTACTGCATGTTGGAGAAAACAGAGGACAGTTAGGGAATTACTGCACGGCGGAGACAGGAGAGGACAGTTAGGGAATTACTGCACGGCGGAGACAGGAGAGGACAGTTAGGGAATTACTGCACGGCGGAGAAAGGAGAGGACAGTTAGGGAATTACTGCATGTTGGAGACAGGAGAGGACAGTTAGATACAGGAGATTACAAAATCACATATCTGCAGGTCTCAGATCAGCTGTTTTCTCTCTTTATCTGCACAGAAAAGAACAGACCATCGAAGACAGCAAGATTCAGGTCAGCATATAATCCTAACCCTAACCCTAAACACTAACCTTAACCCCTAACACTGACCCCAACCCGAAACTCTAACCCCTAACCTGATAAATACAGGGATTGCTACCAAGTAACCTGGCTTCTTCTCTGTGTTATGGTCATAGTAAGAGGTTACATCCTAGTGCAGGATCAGGGGTTTTGAACCCGACCAGTGCTAGCATCAAAAATGCAGCTCATGGTAGGAAAATGAGGCCTTGAACCTGGTCCTCTTATTTCCAGCTAATGGCCAAAGTGAGCTTCAGCCACAAAGCCCCAGTGTGTTGAGTGGCCGTGACGGTACTAGTGTGTCAGACACTTTGCCCTTCGGCTGATGGCTGGCATGTAGCTGTGAACACAGAGGCTGCATTTAGGCCGGCTGTCCCTGTGACAGGTTTGCCAGACTTGCCAACCTGCCGCTGCTCATCTGAGGCCATGTGACGTTCAACTGCCGAGGTGCGGTTGTTTATTTGTTTACGCCTTTCAGTGGAACCACTCAGGTTAATTGGCCTTGCTGTCACAGAACCTGAATGGGCCGGCTCTATCCGAACAGGCCGGGAAATCCTACAAACAGAGGAGTCTGCAACGCCGAGGAAGGTTTCTGGTTGATTACCTGAAGTGTTTGTCCTCAGGCTTGTACCTATTTCAACAGTTCTATTTCTCCTCTCTATGCAAGCAGATCAAGAGGATCTGTCATGTTCCAAATCAATTGGTTCCCATTCTGTCGAGACTAATGCTGACTTGCTGGCAGGCTCAAGCTGATTACTTAGATTACTATTTCTTTCCATAATAAGGAAACTCTTAACTACAGGACCTGGTCCACTTTGGATGTAATTGCACTAAAATGGACTCGAGATATTGGGAGATTCCCCCGGTTCCCCACTGTTACTTTTTGTAAACCATCTATAGCAGTGTTTCCCAGTCTGTTCCTTGGGGACACACAGTCAGATCATGTTTTTGCTCCCTGTCAGACAGTCCACATTTTTGCTTCCTGGTATGGAGCTGGGAGGGAGAAAAAGTGTTGACTGTCTGTGGGTCCCTAAGGATCAAATTGGGAAACATTGCTTTATAGGAAAGGTGCTTTTCCTCTGAGGGGTTTGAGGCTCTGAGTGAAGTTACACACAAGTGTGGTGTCTCTGCTTCTCCCGTGGCCTGCTGTCATGGCTGTAAGCGAGCTCTCAGATGACGGTACAAGTTCAAGCAGCGGTGAAGGAGCAGCAGGAACGGGCCCGACGCAGGCCCAGGAATGTCAGAGAACCGGTCAGTTCACAGCTCACGGGCAGAGCGGAGCAGCGTATAATGGGATGTTCTGTTTTTCTGTCGGAGAGACTCACTATCCGGAGGGCTGTTCCTGTATGGAGGTGGGGCCGCCTAGTTTGACTCGATAGTTGTGAAGAACAGAAGCAACCCTCTGTAAACAAGGCTCGCCTCTGGAGGGCGGGAGCGTACGACGGCCAGAGGGCCAATGGTGGCTAGATGCCCCGGTTAATGGGATCACGCTCACGCTCACACACACACAGTTACACACCCGTAAATATTGACGTACGTGGGTTATTAGTTCTCAGTGAGCACACATAGACAGACATGCTGTCTACCTGAGCCCCCCCCATGCCCCTCTGTGGAGAAAACACAAACTGCTGCTTTTACAAAGGATCTAACGCACATTTTTTCAAAACGAGTAATTCCTCTTAAACGCTGCCACCCCTGCCTGACCGTCGGCATGGTGGTAACTGCTTGGGCTGGGGGCCCCGTGGCCTTTTTTTTAATGGTTGGGGGGGGTCATTAAAGACCCCCCATCTTTCTCACTGGCACTGATGCCCTGTGTCACATTCTCTGGACTGGCACGCTGTCTTGCTGAGTTCACAGGAGGTCCCGCTCCCCTTGGGGCACCCCCATGCCTTGAACATTCTGCCGGCTTCTCTCCCGGCACCTTTGGGCCGCCGGGCTTAGTTACGCTGATTATAAAAATCACCTTGCAGTGTGTAATTAATAATTACTGTGTAATTAAGATAATCTGCACAGTACAGGGCTGACCATACCCACTGGGACTGTGCTGGCTGCCGGGTCGGTCAGCTTCCCTTCCTCCCCTGATACTGGGGGCCATTACAGCCATAATCCATTTCACAGGACTGGGCTCCTTTTCATCAGGATTAAAGTCCTCCTCGTGGGGGGAGGAGGGATGGTTGGCCCACCCCCCCACAGCTGTTTCGGGCTCCTGCCTTCAAGACTGTGTCATGGTTGCATGTTAAACTGCGGTAAAAATACCCCCCCGAAAGTGACTCCCATCATCCTACAGGTCTGCCTAAGATGCTGGTGATCCGGGCGTACCACGGGGTCCCGAGCCCATCCTGCGGGCCCCCGCTGAGCATCGAGCCTGGGGAGGTCGTGGAACTGATGGGCGCGGATCCCCACAGCGCATGGTGGCAGGTGAGGGCCCCCAAGAACTGTGTCGCTCTGGAGGACCACCAGGGCTGGACCGGGCATTTTCTCAGTGGTGGGCTGATAGGTATATGGAAAGGCAAATTTCATTGTGGGGGCAAAATTTACCCTAGAGGACCCTAAAGTCCGGGGCCAATTTTTAATCCCAGTCTAGCCCTGATGACCACACGCTGCCAGGTACCGTCTGGCTGGCTCTAACCTCCCCAGGGGCCAATGAAGATGGGGGAGGGGGGTTTAACACAGACGGTGCCTAACGGCGCGTGATAATATCCCTCATTTCCCCCATGGCCCTCACCGAGTTGCTTTGGTGGAAGGACCCGTTTCCCTGTTATCCATCTTACTTACAGAATATCCCAGCATGCACCAGGAATCGCTGATCCACGGTTCCTTATGTGCGCTCGTCTGTGAAGTCTCGATTGACATTAATTGTTCGATTTGTTTAATCCCAAAATGACAGCGCTTCCCACTGGATGAGGTCACCAAGTGACGCTGCTGTCACATGACTTGGTGCCAGACAAACATACTCGGGCTCTCCTGGTCCTTGGCCGCTCTCTGTTTGCAGGGTGATGAGTTAAATCTTTACCCGGCGGTCACCTGCCCGGCATTGGGGTCACATCACATCTGAAATGTGACAGGCGTGTCACACTTGAGGCCTCATCCATGCTCAGCCATGACAAACAAAGACCCACACAGACTGATTTCATTACAGATCACAGATGGATTTTCTTTCTGTTGCTTAGCATGTGTGTGGACGTTCTCGATGTGGCATTATGCTGTGGTACAGTTACACAAGCTGACACGACCGCTAAACACAGACCGCGGCGTGTCTGTGCTGATCCTCTCTGAAGCACTGGGCAGGGGGGGGACTTAATTACTGCAAGAATCCAAACAGGCTGTTTTGTCAACTGCTCAGGGCAAAATCCTGTCGACACGAGAAGTTGGGTTCTTTCCAAGCGACGCTGTCAAGCCGTGTCCGTGTGTGAGTATGACTTCTCCACTTCCTCATTATAATACTTAACGCCGCAACAATGAGGTACATTTTACAGAGAGGATTTTCTGATCACCCTACTTACATGCATGATGTCATTAATTAATTTGTACAAATAAGCTGTGACTTTGAGGTTAATGCACCAGCAAACATTGTTTGGTTAAGAGCTGCGTTAGTGATCTGGCATAACTGCCGCTAACCGTCATTAGCAACTGGCCAGCTGCTCAACGTTGGTTTTTGTCACGGTTTCCACACTTGGAGTATAGCCACGCCATCGTTAGTGGACGACCTCACAGCATAAAGTTAATGATTTCCTCTTGTTATAACCCATCGCCAGATGCCAGGGCTTAGTGAGGTGGGCTGCCCCGCTTGCTCCCTTCAGCTCCCGTTAGATCAGCCCTAGTTGGATTGTGGGATTTTCTTCCTGAACCCCAATGACCCTTTTCATTCTGCCCGATAGGTCCCGAAGCCAGTGGATTACTCCTCCCAGCCCTGGTATGTCCACACGCAGCCTTAATCCTTATGAAATCTAAGGCAACCCTTTAGAAAGGTTATTAAGGGACCATCAAGGCGGTAATGCATTAAATATTCAAATTCTGGCCAATTTTGCATTAAAATATGGCGCACCGCAAATTTTTTGGAAGTTTCATGATCTAATATTTACCGTGTGACGTTAATAGCTGTTCCCAGATAAGTGGTAATGCTCTTGCCATGCTGAGCCCCTGCTGTGGTGCTGTGATAAGGGCGGGGGGGGGGGGGGTCAGAGGGGGCCGGGGGGTGGACATTGGGGGTGTCACTGATGCTGTTGTCCGTCGGCAGGTTCGCCGGGCCCATGGAGAGGCCGCAGGCGGAGGCAGAGCTCGGGAACCGTGGCAACAGCACCTACCTCGTGAGGCACCGGACGAAGGAGAGCACGGAATACGCCATCAGCATCAAGTGAGTGTGTCTGACGCGGCCCCCCCACGAGGCACCCCCACCCTCACAGAAATAACCGGCCATACGGATCAGCCGGGGACACCCCAAAGCACAGCCAGAGCAGTGTACTACGGTGCACACTGGACGTGTTGTCAGGTTTTTCTACATGCTATGGATCAAGCACATCGGGAAATGGTCTGGGTCGCATGACCTGAGTCCGGACAGGCAGAGGGGAAGGGCAGTCTGGTGCCATGTGTGGGTTTCTGACCAGCACAGGGATTATGGGAATCCCGTTGGATATGTAGTCAGTATTTAGTCATTTGCTACAGGTACAACCACGACGTGAAGCACATCAAGATCCTGGCCAGGGACGGCTTCTTCCATATCGCCGAGAACAAGAAATTCAGGAGCATACTGGTGAGCCCCAAAAACATCTAGCTAATGTAAGAGACCGTGAGGGTCTCAGATGTCCGGGAACTGCTACAAACCCGACAAAGGTGTGAATGTTTGTGTCCCCTGTGGTGGACAGGAACTCATCGAGTACTACAAACACCACTCCCTGAAGGAGGGTTTCAGGAGTCTGGACACGGTGTTGCTGTATCCCTACAAGAATCCGGAGAGTGGTGCCACCCACAGATCCGGCCGCGCCGGAATGAATGGTGAGTACAGGAGGAATGCCGGTCATGATCAACCCTGCGAACAGCAGCAATAACCCTTAGAAAAGAACCAAGCCTCATGTTGACGCTATTTTCTTTTACAACCTGAATATTTTATGAGGACTGTAATTCCATAGATATCTGTCTATAAAAGGCTTATGTACGATAACGGATATTAACGTGAACTCTATTTATGTATAAATCACAACTGATGTTAGGGTGGAATTCAGGCTTCTGATAACATGCTTGGGTTCACAGTGGTCAGTGGGCGGTGCTTAACTCCTAAGACCCACAAAGGGGGCGGGGCATAACATCTCAGAGGCACAGGGGGCGTAGCTTAACATTCAGAGCCACAGGGGGCGGTTCATAACATATCAGAGCCACAGGGGGCGGAGCTTAACATATCAGAGCCACAGGGGACAGGCCGTAACATATCAGAGCCACAGGGGGCGGAGCTTAACATCTCAGAGCCACAGGGGGCGGAGCTTAACATCTCAGAGCCACAGGGGGCGGAGCTTAACATCTCAGAGCCACAGGGGGCAGG